AGTTTGCTGTAAGTTTGAGAGCGAGGCAGATAAAACAGGGAATTTTTTTAAGGTTTCCAAAAAACTTTAATTTCATAACCGTTAAAAATGAATAAATGAACAGCCCAGACGAGGCTTCGGCAGCACTGCGTCCGTTCCTCCAAGGCACACCACAGTGCCAAGGAAATGTTTTAAAACATCAGATCTGTTCATATTTGATTTGTAAAAATGAGATGTGAATGTGGAATGGCGTGAATTTAAACATCTGTTCAATTTTCAAGAACATAGTCCTTTAAATTAAAAACTACCCTATGGCCAGTGTTGAGCAGTAACTTATTACTAGCAATAATATTACTTTCTTTTACTTTAGTAATACATTTCAGTTATAATATTGCAGTTCATTTCTGTAATCATGAAGGAAACTAGTTTGGAAGATGGAATGGCTTAAATTCAGCAGCTGGAAATATTCCATTACTTTGATTTTAACAAAACTGTATTTCAATGGGCGTTAGTCAGAATTTCAGGGAGAAAGCTAACCATTACCATTTTTTGTGGGGGATAACAGTAACTAATTACTGCCTATGGCACAGTCTGTTGTCTAGGCATAGCTGGTTAGATAAAGATACCTAAATAACGAGGAAGGCCTCCAACAAGTTACTCATTCTTAGAAAAATGGTTGTTTTCCTGCAGGCCCCATTTTAATGAAGGGCATATCTGATGCCACCTTCCTTTGAGAGCAATAAAATAATCTATAATGAAATTCACATTTAATTATTTTGCATGCACAGCAAACTCAATTTGTTGTTTAAAGTTAAATATTAGTTGTAGGTCAGATGTGAGTATATTTCCAGGGAGAACCAGTGGCAGCAGCTATGGTGGACAATTTATTTGTTGTATCCTGATGCAACTCATAGCCCATGCTTAAGTTCAAGATTATAGCTTATAGTGTAGTAAATGTAATGCCAATAAAGTGTTAACAACTAAGGTTATTATTTCTTCCTTATTGGCAACTTTATTATGAGGCCTTTATATGTCTGAAGGCCTCAAAACATCCTGGCCCCAAGTTCCTAATAAATGTGTGAATCTCAATTAGATGCAGCACCGCAGTCGCACACAAGGACACCAATATGTGGAGGTCACAACAGAGCACAATAACATTTTATTTGCAGACTTTTCCTGACTGACTTGCTACTATGCTAAACTTTTTTTTTGCACAGAGACATATTTTTTTATTTATTTTTTTAGTGAACAAGTCTACATATTTTCTGCTCCACTTCACAGTCTTTCCATCTCATGCACTCACACTGCAGGAAGTGTACCCGCACAGGTACACACACACACACACACACACACAGCCATATGCACACTCGGATATCAAAAATCAGACAAATGGCACAAAGCCACACACTGTGATGGCTAATGCTTCTTGCTGACACTGTAAATCTTTGTGTCCGAGTGATGGGTGTTTCATCTTTTTGACAGAGTGCTGCTCAACATACCTTTCTGAGTAACTTTGAAAGTACACTTCACCTGCTGTGGCCTCCGTCTGAAACTCTGTGAAAGCTATTGAAGCTAGTAAACTTTCACAGCCTTTTCACTGCTTGGTCTCCCTTAGCTTCAACAGGCCTTTATACTCATGCTTCAGATCAATTGTATTTCTTTTTGCCTTCTCTTTACCCTCCCCTGTCCTTTCTGCCTCTACAGCTCCAACTTCACCTTCTTCTCCTTTCATCATCCTTCTACTCCTCCCTCCCACTCTCCACCACACTCTCAAAATCCCTTTCCTGTGTAGAAAGCCTCCTTTACCCTTTAAGAAACCGGATGACTGCTTTACCCTTTATCAAACTTGCATACGGAAGTGACACGATGCAGGCCAGAGAGTGAGAGGAGAAGAAAGGAGAGGTGATGTGGGTGGAGAGGAAAGGGAACTTCCCTTCAACTCCTGAAGCACACCTCCGGCCCTCTTTGAAGCATGGGCTTCTCTTGCTACCCTTTGTTTCCTCACCCAACATTTTTCTTAAAGCACTGTCTTTATCCATCAAGGATAACTCAGAAAAGGGAAGGAGACTATGTGCAGGGGAAAATACTGAAGATTCGAGGTGCCTCACTGGAGAAACGGTATTAAATCAGGACATATAATATGTCTGAAACAAGGAGAAAAAATGCTGCAGACTAAGCTAGTTCAGATTCAACTATGCCTTTGCTGTGTTTTTGGCATTATCATTTTGACTTAATGTGTTACATCACTTACTGCCTTGGGATCATTTCATTTGCAGCTCTACTGTAAACAGTTTGTTCTTCAATGGCCTCCCACGACATTGTTAAAATAAATAATAAATAAAAATTTGGCCATGATGAATACAGTATGAAGAGAGCACGGTTAATGAAAACAGATGACTAATGCAAGACTTGTATTAAGAGTATCATCCTTTGAATATATTCCATATTTCAATTTGTCTGCATGTTGACAATCTTTACTCAGAGCAACTTACAATAATTCAGCACGAAGGAGCTCAGCTTACGGAAACCACATTTGACCTTTAATGCAAAATGAATGGGGCAATTATGAGCAATTTTAAAGCTTGAACTTATAAAAGTAAGATCATACCGCATGACTATGGTTATAAGACAATATGAATTACTCTTTCAATTGAATGTTTACAGTGTTATTTAACTCAGCATATCTACTATTACTATATCTACTATATAATACTGTTGTATGCTGCTACTTGTATGATGAGAGGCCTAATTAACTTCAAAAATAAGCGCATATGTTGAACATGCATAGATCTGCTAGATCACTTAGATCTGCTCACACCTCATTATCGGTCACCTTTATATGATAAGACAAAAGGTCCAAAGGGGTTCTGCGGTTTCATACACAGATAAACACAAGAGGCCTGGGGCAGCTGCATTTATCATGTATGTGTAATTTCCAACACAGCTCCATGGTGCAGATGGGTGAATAGAAACATGGAAAGATAACTTTGACAGGAAAGAGAAAGGGGAAGGAGATAGAGAGCGCTTGGAGATTAGAGCTAGAGAGATAATAAGGGGCTTTATTTTATGTATGGTTAAAAGTCTAACATCAGTTATCGCATAAAGGAAACCGTGCATACAACAACATACATGCACAGGAACACTGAAGCCATGACCCACCAGACATGATATTTTATTTTCTCATAAAAATAAAAATAAAACAAGATGAAAGAAAGAATGAGAGAACAATAAAAAGCACTCACACATTTATAGGGGGACACACACAAAGGAGCTTGTCAAGAGATGCAGAGGACTCTCATTGGAATAGAAGTTACAAATACACAAAATTGGAAACAAGATCATTTGTATCAATCAGGCTAATCCAGCCTAATGTGCATATTAAAGACAATACTTGTCGTCTCATTTCGAGCAGATGAATCTTTTCTTCTGGGGACAACCTTAATCAAATACATTCAAGGGCCATCAGCCCTAATGTGCTTCTTAGGATTTTCTAATAACCTTTGATTGAATAAAATCATTCAGAATGTAGACTATGTAAACACCATTTCACACACACACCTGACCTCATTTGTCGAGAACTATCAGAGAACTGAACACAAACCTGTGCTAAAAAAGAAACAAACTTATCTAATTCTTTACTGTATGAAGAGTGCTTAATGGCAGGGGTCATGTCAATACATCTTGTAGCAGGCAGTGGACAAAAAAATGTAATTACGAAAACCATCAGTGGCTAGCAAAGACAAATTACAAAATTAATTAATGCATCAACGATTTAGCCACGCATAATTAAACAGAATCTGAGTGTTTGTCAGAAATATATGGTGTTTGTCCGACTGGAAATGGAGAGGAACTGTACGGCCGGCAAATGTTGAACTGAAATGGAGATGGATTGAAACTGATTTTTATTGCAACTATAACAAAAAGTATCATCACTTGTGGAAGGGATAGGGATTCTCACCATTCTCATGATCTGGCAGGATGTGCAAATCATTGTCGGCTGCCAAAGATACAGTTTCAGTGTTTTTATTACTAGCGCAAACTGTCAAGACAGTCGAGGAGCTGAAATAAATGACTAGACCTGCTATCAAACAGTCTGTATTTCATCCCATCTGCATCTTGCCCTCAACTATCGTCAATTTCTCATGCTCAAAATGGGAAAAGCTAAAAGAATTTGACTCAATATGTCTATAAAATGTTAGAAAATAGGGGAAACATCCTACAACGCAACTTGATATATTTAGCATAAAAAAGCACAGAATCACACATTAAATGTTTGAACGATTATGAGCATAACTGCCAATTCATTTCTGTTAAGTGACTAATTGATTAATTGAATAATCATCGCAGCTCCATTTCTTTCCAATGTATCATCTGTCATCTGTGCCCTTACACTGCTCATCGGGTAGGAGACAAGCAAACACGCTGCCTGAAGACTGTTGTTGAATGCCAGAAAGTACAACTGTACTGTCTGAAAAACATTACGTTTTCGCAATATGACCTTCTCAGATACTTTGAGTAAAAGAAGGATAGAAAAAGAAAGAAAATCCATTTCTTTTACCAAGTTCATACAACGTTAAAAACCTTACAATACCTGGCCATCCACAGGAGTTTAAACCTCCCTTTACCTCGACACGGTGGCCAGTTTCTAATGAAGATGACCACTGCGGTAAAACAGAAAAGACGTGGAGAGCAGAGCATGAATCTATTTTAAACTTGGAAGAGAGCCAGAGAGCGGAAGGTGAGGTTAAAGGGGACACATGCTTCATGCCAACCCTGGTGTTTTGAAATAGTATGGGCTGTGGTTGGTGTACGATACCCAGCCACCTCATTTCTCAGTAAGAGTTGTCTGCTGGGAGGTGTGGGGAGGGTTTAAACTCTGATATGCTCCAATACACAGACACTTTGGATGTGCCAATGAACTTTCACATGGCGGCAACTAATGCCTATAGACAGAAGAGCGCTGGCAAGAGGACTCTGAAGGAAGTGACCTTCGCACCAGGAAGAGAAAGAGCTTTACCCACCGGCAAGGAGGAATGTGATGAGGCAGGTTTCTTTGGGCATGTACAGCTTGAGGCGGGAGCCACTGAAGACGTATTCTACCACAGCTTCTGACCGGCCAGCCCTTTGCAGGAAGGGCAAAAACTGCTTGGCTTTCTGTGTCTCCTGATGGACAAAAAGAAAAAGAAATAAGGTTGAAGAGTGCACAATTTGATGCTAGGTAACTTTCTTTTTATTTATTGAACCAAATGTAATGATATGTCATTCCAATATTTGTAAAGCAAATAAACCATCTATAATCTGGTGAACAGGAGATTTTCTGATATGTGACACATAATTCAATATCAAAGAACAGAATTGTGATACTTTTCATATGGACTTATTTCAAGTTATTGGCATCAGTGAAAATAAAACATTAAAATGATCAAATGTGTGACAAAATCAACCTGGATACAGCATCAAAACACTCAGCCAAATGAAAAGTAACCAAAATAAACAAGGCGGACTGAATAGGTTTTATTGACGATAGAATCTGTGGGTTTTTTCCAGACATCTTTAAGTCTGACCTAATGAAGTCTGCTTGGCTTCTCCGTGACACGTCTGGATACTCGTGCAATCAAAAATAATTCTCTCTCCCCTCCTGCCTCCATCCCTGTCTGCAAGGGTGAGTCACTAGCTTATTGTTGTGCCCCGGCCAAAATTACAAGCAGAGCTAAATCATGTGAACTCAAGCAGGGCTGGTGATGCAGTGGCAGGGGAAGATTCATAAACGATTAAAAAAAAATTTAATATGTGCCTACTCCGAGCAGGAGCATGTAGGCACAACAGACCACTCAGTCATGGACCAGTGTGTGTGTGTGTGTGTGTGTGTGTGTGTGTGAGTGTGTGAGAGCGTGGCAGTGTGGCAATGGGAGTAGGAGCAAAGGCTCGAAGGGAAGCACGGAGTTCAAACAAGGAAGCATTCTCTACTGCCTGCTGATAAAAAAAAAAAAAAAAAAACTAAAACAAAACATTGATAGAACATGTTCTACATTAGCTGACATTTTCTTTCCTGTTATAGAGGATTGGTACATCATGTAACACACGTCAGCAGTGGGAACACATGACATTGTGAGCAAAGGGTATGTGCTTTAGCCATAAGATGCACCACCTGAACTCCACCCACTGCAGTCCAAAATAGCCCCTTGAGTGGGAGACGACAGAAGCAAACATTCTGTCGTTCACACAAACACATTTGCAGCACCTGCAGTGAGTGGGCTGTGCAGTCCAACTTGGTTCAGAAAAAAAAAAAATAAGAAGAGACATGAGAGAGGAGAGGACCTCATTATGCAACCTTTAGAGGTACGAGGTGAGTCAAGTGCTTTATCCATTCTCCTCCCACCACCTCTGTTCATCTCCTACACTATACGTTTATAAACCTATCTCTGCTCTATTTCTGACTGCATCCCACTCAATGTACATAATCCCTCTCGGCAAACCTTTACCGCCGAGCTAAAAGGATGCTGACGTATGGGAGTGTGTATTTCCATGTGTGTGGGGGTGCGCCTGTGCGCGTGTACAGCTGTGTGTGGGTGTGTATCACAGAGGAGGAAAGGAAAAGAAAAGAGGGGAGGGGAAGGATGTGAAGGGGCAATGATGCTATTTTGGTCCTTTAGAATGCTCATTACATTAGCCTAGGCAAACAACTGGTGCATGCACGTGCACGCGCGCATACACACACACACACGCCTACTGGCACTGAGTGGCAACGATCGTGGACTGTGCTGAAAATCCTGTGTGTGTGTATCCTTATTGAAAACTGACAGGAATGCTAAGAGAGGGAGGGAGTTGTAGCTGCATGTAACGGCTCTGATCTAAATCACTGACACGGTGGCGCTAATAAGGGAGATGGGCTTCACAGTGCTGATGTCACACACAAATGCATGACGCAGCACAATCGAGTTAAAATGTAAAGACCACCACAGCCTTAGGAGGGTTACTGGGACCGTTTTTAATGAGTGTGATGTGTAAAATCTCCAGTTGGAAGTAGGGTTTGGCATATAATGCTTTTTTTTTTCATATTGTAAATGAATTATTGAGCACCTCCCCCCCTGAAACTACCCCCCAAGTCATTGCTGCACATAGAATGTGGTCAATTTAGCCAGTTAAGTTCGGTGGGTTCATAAGTATAAAATGCACTAAAACCCCTGATGAAATAGCACACGGCTGCTCAGTCAGCACAACAATTCCCTGTCATAATTATTTTTACAGGGCCCAATAATTTATCTGTCCTGCTGACACAATAAGACATAGGGAGGTTACAATGATGACAATGTGGAACAGTGACATCTGAGAGCAGTTATGTGGAGCAATGTTGGACTTATGAGCCAGACTCTAAAGTCCTGTTGATGTTAAAGAGCTTTAATAACTTGGCTGAATGCCTCTGTTCTCCACCATCTCTGGTGGACCACTTGGCAAAAAAATAATAATAAGACTAATAGAGAAAAAGAGGGGCTGATTAATTTATCCAAATGTCTCTCTAGAGCCTACAAGTGCAAGCACTCCAGAAGAGCTCAACTGAGGAAGACAATGAGGTGCTAATGTTTTAGAAGTTCACAGTAGACCATGTAGCGGCTTATCAGAATTCATAAGAGATGGCTATTCTGCAAGTAAAGAGATAAGTAAATGCACTCAAACAATTCTGAATAAAAGAATGTAACTTGTTGGTGGTTTGACAGCATTTGGAGTGGTGAGATAAAAATAAAAAAACTGGGTGTCCAGGTTACATGGTGGTCAATGGACCCAGCTGAGGGACATCTAGGGGACTATGTACTTGTAGTTGTACTAAATGTTAATCAGGTAGGCTGTGTGGAGATT